TTTTTTCACGATGGAATTTTGTTTTGAGTCGTTTCGACATAAGCATTCGCTATCAAGACATTACACGAAAAACCCCAGTCACCGTTCTAGCTCTCGTTGTAAGGTCAAAGCTACACCTGTTACATAACGTCAACCCTCGTTGTATCGTCGAGCATGCTTGCGGCTTATTGCCGAAAATGCGACAAAGGATGAACTACAACAGTTGTTTGTACCAAAAATACGGAATACGTGGAGCTAAGCTGCTCTAGCTCTTTCAGTGATGTTGTATATACCTCAAAGCTTAGAGGAAACAAGAGCTAAGAAAAAGGATTCGCAATGGTTCCTCCTAAGATACTTTGGACTTGAACGTCGCTTCAACGACCTTCTGAAGTCTTCGTGAAGTCGGCCATTGCTTCGCATGCAATGGAGAACCCGCGTAGAACACAGACCAATTATTTTTATCAGGGAGGGGAGTCTCTTGATATTTCTTTAAAAAGAAAAAAATTATTTGTTATTTCATTTTTAAGATAAAATTCTATTTCTATAACGATAAATATTTGATTGACATTAAATAAAAGCTGTTTTATAAATTTCAAGTTCTCTTTGCGTTTTAGCTTCGAATTTTTGGATAGAATAAAATGACAGGCAGCCTACTCCACTGGGTTGAGTTTTGCTGTGCAAATTCCTCCCGTCGGGGGGTTATGTTTACAACATAAGCTTGTCAGCTTTGTGCTGATTGGCTATATATCTTTCATATAAAAGTTTGTTGATAAGTCCGAAATTTTATAGGTGTGCCCGAGATAACGATAAACGATAATTTCACATGAGACTAAAGAGTCAAATTAATTGTAACGTACTTTGATATTAAATTTTAATATTACCCACCCCCCTCTGAAAAATCCTGGATCCGCCCCTTGTCTGTTGTCTTCTAAGAGCGAGTCCGTATGTTTCTTTTCTGCAAAAAATTACAACATGTAATGAGCTTAACAGTGGGAGAACGACAGGAAACTCGATGGAAACCTTTTAGAGGAAGGAGTTTGACGACGGTGCAGTATGACTGACATGTCAATGACATGTAGAAGTTGCATGATTTTTTTCTATTGCTTGTAAATTCAAGCTAATAACTCGTATTTCTCTCTTTGTTTTTCTTGGTTTATTTTCAACTACTACTCACCACGTGGATTGTTCAGTATTTTCAAACACGACTCTAGTAGTTTTGACTGTTCATATAGTCACTTATTTACATCGCGTCTTTTTGAAGGAACATTTTATTAAACAGAAATGGTTTTGTGTGATTTTGTTTTGTTTATCACTTCTAATATAAACCATTTTTCAACCGTCTTCATGTAAGAACACCCAACAAAATGATGACTACAGAGGAGGCCAGTTATTGATAATTCAAACAGTTGACTAAAATTCTTTTATTTCATAATATCCAAATTTGCTTAGAAGTACATTGAACAGCATAAATTACTCTGAATTGAAATTTTCTATACGGAGTATAATGAACAAGGTTTTTGAGTGAAAAATCCAAAGAAAATAAAATGGTCCTAAACTACCGCAATTTCCCATCCGTAATGAATATGAAAAAAAGACCGTGGATTATAGCTTATGTTTTACGTGGGATTTTGGTTCTTCTAAAATATGATAGAAACAAACGTTCTGCTGCTACGGAGGATACAAACTCATGTTCTCTATGACTACAATTCTACACTATATTTGGTGTGTAAGAGTTTGTATGTGTTTCTTGCGTACAGCGTTATGAAGGCAGTCAACAGATCTCATCTCCACACTACCACTCGTTTGACCCAACGTTCAAGTACAAATACTCGACCATCTGGTGTAACAGCAACGTCATAAGGGCGATTCATTTGACCGAGACCTGCACCTTCACTACCAAAGGACCTTATGAACTGACCGTCTTGACTGAAGACTTGCACACGGTGGTTACTTTGATCACAGACAAGAAGCATTTCTTTACCAAACACGTCAAGTCCAGCAGGTATATCGGCAGAATCGATAGAAAATCTATAGAACATTGCTAGATACATCAGTGAGACTTTCATTTGAAATGTGTATAACAGACTACCGTTCTCGTCAAAAATACGAACAGTGTTGGGGTTCGAAAACGACACAAAGTACGTATTATTATCATAAACTAATGAGAGAGGACGCCTGTGACGATCATTAGGATCATGCAGTTTGATGTCATGAAGGTGATCATAACTGTCTTTATCAAAGACCTTTATAAATGTCTCTGTATTATTCTGATC